CGCTCTTTAACCGTTTGATGACATTAAAGCTTTGACACCTTGACCAAAAATGCTTTTCTCTCCAAGGACAGAGCCATCATGGGGGGGGGGGGGGGGGAGAGAGAGAGGAGGGAATCACCGGTCAATTCCTGGATAGAGATGCCGGCTCAGAGATGACAATCATGTAAATCCTGAGGCCTCTGCAGTTTCTAGCTGCGTTCACATCCCTCAAAAAGGACGTCCTCATCCAGGGTCACGGTCTACTTCCTCGACTGAGATGCCGGTGTTCTGTCGAAATGGCTAACTCGTGGAGATCTCCAACGCTTAATGTCATATGCGTTGGAGAGTTAGATGAGATGGCGCTAGTGCGTGTGCGCCAGTCCTGGCATTTTTACAAGCCTCGTCTACTTGCCCTAAGTGGGCCTGTGTGGCCTCGCAACCCTCAGAGTTCTCCAACTGGCGTCAGTGCTTGTGCAAATGAGAGAACATTATACTGCTCTTGGGTGGCCGTGGGGGGCGCACTGACGGGGAGTTGGACAGCTCGATAGAACCCCATGTAAATCCTGGTTCCTGGATATACTATATACAGCTCTACATATAAACTGCTCAAAAAAATGAAAGTAATGCTGAGCACACACCTTACAACCATCGCAAGACTTTTGTCTTGCGATGGTTATAAGGTACTTTTAAAAAAAAAAAAAACGTATGATCTGCCCATCTTGGACAGGCAGATCGCAAGCTGTGGGCCCCCTGCCCCCCGAGGGGCGGGTCTTCCGATGACCGCAATGCCGAACAGGCAGTGTGCGCTTGCGCACACCGGCCCGTCCGGCTTTTATCGCACGAACATGCTACACACCCGCCGAACATCGTACGATGCTCAGCGGGTTTTCGAACATGTCCGCAAGTTCAAAGTCGTACGATCATGGGATTTCCCACGATTATCACAAGGTGTGTGGGGACTTTGAAAACACATCAGATCTCATTGGGGGAAATATCTCATGCTGGATATCTCCTGTATACTGGACGGGGTAATGTGTGAGGAAGGAAAGGATCCCACATCGTTTGATGGAAATGATCTACCTACAGAGGGCTGAATTCTAAGACACCCCAAAAATCAAAGTGAACAAATGATGCAGCAGGCTAGTCCATTGTGCTGTAAATTCATTGCAGCAAAATGGTCCTCAGTAGTTTGTACGGATGCCTGACGTCAGGGCACGCTCCTAATGAGACGACGGATGGTGTCCTGGGATATCTCCTCCCAGATCTGGACCAGGGCATCACTGAGCAGACTGAGGTGCAACCTGGCGGCATCGGACAGACCGAGGCCTAATGTCCCAGAGGTGTTGTATCGGATTCAGGTCAGGCGAGCGTGGGCTTCATCCTCAAGGAACTGGCTGCATACTCTCACCACTTGAGGCCGGGCATTGTCACGCACCAGGAGGAAGCCAGAACCCATTGCACCAGCATAGGGTCTGACAATGGATCCAAGGATTTCATCTTGATACCTAATGGCAGTCAGGGTGCCATTGTTTAGCCTGTAGAGGTCTGTGCATCCCTCCATGGATATGCCTCCCCAGACCATCACTGACCCACCACCATATCAGTCATGCTGAACAATGTTACAGGCAACATAACATTCTCCACGGCTTCTCCAGACCCTTTCACATGTGCTCAGGGTAAACCTGGTCTCATCTGTGACAAGCAGAAGGCGCCAGTAGCAGACCTACCAATTCTGGTGTTCAATGGCAAATGCCAATCGACCACCACAGTGCCAGGCAGAGGGCCCACTAGAGAACGTCATGCCACCCTCATGAAGTCTTGTTTGTGATTGTTGGTCAGAGACATTCACCAGTGGCCTGCTGGAAGCCATTTTGTAAGGCTCTGGCAGTACTCATCCTAGTTCCTCCTTGCACAAAAGGAGCAGATACCGGTCCTGCTGATGGGTTAAGGACCTTCTACGGCCCTGTCCAGCTCTCCTAGAGTAACTGCCTGGGTCCTGGAATCTCCTCCGTGCTCTTGAGACTGTGCTGGGAGACAGCAAACCTTATGGCAATGGCACATATTGATGTGACATCCTGGAGGAGTTGGCCTGCCTGTGCAACCTCCCTCTATAGGGTCCAGGTATCGCCTCATGCTGCCAGTAGTGACTATGACTCTAGCCAAAACTAGGGACAGTCAGAAAAGATGAGTAGGGGGGGAAAAAATGTCAGCGGCCTCCACCTGGTAAACCGTTGTTTTGGCGCTTGTCTCATTGTTGCCCATCTAGTGCACCCGTTCTTTTCATTAACACCAAAAGCAGGACTTTAAAAAAAAAAAATATTACCTTTATATGTGACTTTTAATTTTTTTTTTATATTTTTTTTTGTAACATTCTTTTAAACCTTTTTTTCCCACTTAAAGTTACATTAAACCCTCAGATTTTTTAACATAAACTAGTGTAATGTGTAACTTACTGTAATCCATGGTTGTTTCCCTTCTCTTTGCTGCTCTTCCTTTTAAATCTGTATCTGTTCTCATGCTTGGAGAGAACTTCCCTTTTTCAGCTCAGGGCCTCTTCCTGTAGTGCTGGCTCAGGTTACAGCCTATACACAGACACCGTGTGAGACAAGGCAGTCTGCTGAAAAGGGAAGTTCTGCCCCAGCATGAGAAGAGATACAGATTTAAAAGGAAGAGCAGCAAAGAGAAGGGAAACAACCATGGATTACAGTAAGGCACACATTACAGTATTGTTTTATGTTAAAAAAATCTGAGGGTTTAATGTCACTTTAACTTTATTGCTCTCACATTAGGGGACTAACAAGCCCCATTTGTGATAGCCAATTTTCAGTGACAGGTCCTCTTTGAGACATCAGGGGTCTTAAAGAGAAGCTGATGAAGCAAACACCTGCTTCCTCCAGTTTCTGTACCGTGACAGAGGAATGCGGAAGTGATGTAATACACATCACTGCCTGCATTCCGAAAATGGAGGAGATCCAACGGAGCTCGTGTGCTGACCTCAGTTTGATTATCCGCCGCAGAGCTGCTGTGCTGGTCCCGGGCTCACACCGGAGCTCGGGATCGCCAGCAGCGGCTGCAACGGAGGGGGCGCACACCCGCACCCATATTACAAGCGATTGAGCATCTCTACAAACGCTTGTATGTAAATCGCTGGCTGTTTACACTCCAGGGTGATTTAGCATGAGATGGGACGTTTAAAAAAGAAGCTGCTGTCTGGCCGTTTAATTACAATGGCCGGACAGCAGGTGGTTAACTGACCTGATGAAATCCCGCCGCCCCACCTCCGCCACCTCATCA